ACGTAATTGCTCTTTCTAGCTGGAAGCGGTGAGAGAAGCAGGCGTCCAGGCGCTCAGATCTGCCTCCCAAAAGCTACACCAGGATTACCAGACTCGGGCAGAAGAGCTGGAGAAAAGCCACGAGGATGAGAAGCAGCAAATCCAGGTAGCAAATCTTGTCCAAAATATTTTAGGTGGGCTGCAGCTCCCTGTGCTGCAAGTTTCAGGAGCTACCGAGTCCCTTCTGCAAGCACAATGGGCAAGTTAAATGAGAAAACGGAAAGGACTTTTGGGTTTGTTCCTGATTTTTTGGGATGGGGTTGGCTCGAAGGCCCTCGAGCCCCATCGGCCGCGTTCACCACAGCCGTTTTGGTCGCAGGTCTACAACCTCCAGCAAGAAGAGGAGCTCCGGCAACGCTCCGAAAACGCCGCTCGCCTCGCCGAGGGCGTCAGGGAGAGGTGCGGCCGCATCGCGGAGATGGAGAGGCGGGTGCAGAGGATGGAGGAGGTACGGCACGGAACTGCTGCTCCCTCGCTGTGTGAATTTCCTTGGGTATTTTTAGCTGAGCTGGAAGAAGCAACAGCTCCATCAAATGTCTCTTGCAAATCAAATAGCAGGAAGCGTTAACGCACATTTTTACCTCCCTTCTTGTTTCCTCAGGAAAAGAAAACTCTGACGGAGAAGAAAATATCCTGCGAAAAGATGCTCCAGCAGATGACGTCGAGGAACAAAGACAGCAAACGGTGATTAAACGCACGCGATAAAGTGGGTTTTAATTCCCTGCCGGGGGATTAGTTCACGTAGAGCACCGGTCACTCGCTCGGGTTACTTCTGGTAGTAAAAAATCACTCATGGGGAAGCGAACTGGTTCAAAACAACCTCATTTCCTGGGGTTGCTTAAAGAAGCCAAAGCAGATGGGGGTGTCCCACAGCTCTTAAAACGGGGAGTGGTGTCCTACAGCTCATTGTGATGGGTTGTACGTGACGGGCGATATGGATGGGGGCTGCTGTGCTCTCGCCCGCAGGTGCGTGGATCTCCAGCAGCAGATCTCCACCCTGCAGGAGCAGATCGGGCACCTGCAGCGCCTGATCCAGGCGCAGCACCACGGCCTGCGCGGCGCCATCCAGGAGGTCAGGAAACAAAGCGGGAGGGCCGGGGATGCAGGGTGATGGGTGAAGGGCCCCCTGTTAACACAAGGGGCTTGCCTTTTGCCAGCTGCTAAATAGCTTTCATAGTCAGATTTTATTATGTATGTGATTAGACTTGTTACCTTAAGGAAAATGTGACGTTGTGTGTGGAGAAATTGTTTTATAAATCAGTTTGACTTCTTCTGTGGTAAAAGAGCAGGGAATTGAATGGTCTGTGATTCCCCTGACATGGTGAGAGGGCTGGTTTGACACCCAGATGGGTGGTGTTTTTTTTGATGTGTTAAGTTTATAAGCGAGTTGAAACCTTTCACTTTGTGTATGTCAGGCGGAGGAACTGAAAAATGAACTCAAGAGCCAAGACAAAAAAATAGAAAACCTGACAGAGCAGCTGAATGCGCTGGAAGCACAGGTAAAGTAAATAGAGAGAGATGAGAGGAGACGAGAGATGAGTACTCACCTGCGTACACAAATCCCCACCCGCGTATGCACTCATCCGCATATGCAAATCTATGTCGGTACCCGCGTACGCAAATCCCCGCCCGCGTACG